TCTTTCAATTCATCGAATGATATGGATCTAAATTTCAGGAACGTAGCTGCATCACAAGATAGATCATTATCCACGTATACAGGGTGGCGCATCGAAAACGAAACAGACGCATTTACTGGCAGCTCAGTTTTTTTTGAAAAACGCTCAGAACCGTCGATTTTGTTTTCGAGGGGGACACAAGTTTGGCAAATAATCACGTTAGCACGTGCAGCCCGCTAAGCGGGGGTGACACCACCCCCAAAATCTTAAATGGAAAGGGGGGTCGAGTGATACCTTATTTTAAAGGTCTTTCAATTCCTTTATAATGATATAAAATTAATGTACTTCTGTTCAGTAATTTTGAAGATTTATTGATTTAAAGCTTAAATAAAACTAATACATCATCATTAGTGGAGATGAATACATTTGGCAGCAAATTAATTTAAAAATGAAGAATAAACTGACCCGTTAGGCAGGTAAATGTTGAAAATGGCCACCATGACACTCCATGCAATAATAAAGATTTTGGTCAAAACGTTGCCGCACATTTAGCAATATTTGAGGAGTAATTTGAAGGCACTCATTCACAATTCTTTGTCGCAGGTCTAATGATGTTGGCCGAGTAGCATAGATTTTGCTTTTTAAATGACCCCACATAAAGAAATCCAAAGGTGATAAATCTGGCGATCTTGGGGGCCATTCAATGGCACCTCTTCTACCAATCCATCGATCTGGAAACGTCTAATCTACATATCGTCGAACACGTAATACGTAATGTGGTGGGGCACCATCCTGTTGGAACATCAACCTATTCGCAATGTACCGCCGATCATTCTGATTTTCAATTATGGCTGTTAATGCAGGATCTATGGCGTCTTCCAGTAATTCCAAATACATTTCACCGGTCAAATTTCCAGGTAAGAAAAAAGGACCAACTGAATGATCGCCAAAAATACCAGCCCAAACATTTAATTTTTGTGGCTGCTGTGTATGAACCTCATGATAAATTCTGGGATTAGAATCGGACCAATATCGGCAGTTATGACGATTTACTACGCCATTTAAGAAAAAGGAACATTAGTCGGAAAACCAAGTGTTGAATAGAAAATGTTCATCGTTTATAATTCGTTCACTCATATCTTCACAAAATTGTAATCGCCGATCAAAATCGTCTTCATTAAGTTCTTGTACCAGGTGAATTTTATACGGATGAAAACTATGGGCCTTTAGAATCCGTTGGACAGTACGTCGACTAACACCACACACAGTCTCCAATTTGCGGGTACTTAGCGTACGATCTACATAAACTTGCTCTAAAACCCCCACTTCTATTGCTTCGTTCCTTATGGGATTTTCAATGTTGCGTTTTTTATTGGCGACTGACCCAGTTTCCCGAAATTTAGCTACAAGTTCTAGAACATATTTTCGATGCACGTTACTCTTCTCATGTCGCTCATTAAATATTTGTGCTGTTCTATTAGCGCACTGATTATTTCCGAAAAATATTTCGATAATTTCAACTCTTTCTGCTGTGGAATATACCATGGTTAATTTATATAATAAAGCGTTACAAGTTATTTTAGCAACAAAGTTTGGTCAAATCAATCGCAAATTATGTACTAAATTCCTATTTAAAATAAGTACGAGATATTTCCTTATCTTTCTTCAAGAAATAACTTTTTTGCTCCAATAGCTATTTTCAACAACAAAATGATAAACAAACCATGGTCGTAGTGAAGAAAAGCATTTACTTATTAGGTAAATTCTTTTAGTCAAATTTCTTCTGAAAGTAGTACACATTAATCTCATGTACCTACCTATTAAAGTTTACTTTCAGCTTTAAATCAATAAATCTTCAAAACTACTGAACTGAAGTACATTAATTTTATATCATTATAAAAGGAATTGAAAGACCTTTAAAATAAGGTATCACTCGACCCCCCGTTCCATTTAAGATTTTAGGGTTGGTGTCACCCTCGCCCAGACGGCTGCACGTGTTAAAGTGATTTTTTGACAAACTTGTGTCCCCCTCGAAAACAAAAACGAGGGGTATGAGCGTTATTAAAAAAAAAATGAGCTGCCAGTAAATGCGTCTGTTTCGTTTTCGATGCGCCACCCTGTATAATATCAGACTGGATACTTTTTACAATGTCACAAATACTGCTAACAAAGAAACGGTTGAAATTATCAGCCATTTCCACTTCACATCTGGAAATAACTTTTTGGTCATTCAGGTAAAAAATTATTAGATTAAAAAAATTAATCAATCTCTAACAACTGTTTCGATCCGATCAAATTTCGATCATTCTGAACAAAAAAGAATCTCAAGTTTTTTATAGTTATCGAGATAAACAGTTGTATTTTACTCGGTAAGCTGGTGCAGCGGTTTTTGAGATTACGAGATTAGAAAAACTGCAACAGACCGCGATAGACAGACCGATAGAAATAAGTGACAAGTATTCTCGTGCTGTAGACGTTATGAAATATAATGTAATATAAATATAAATCGAAAGAAGCAATATTTATCATTTCCAAAATGACTGTATTTGAAATCGCCGCTCGCATAAATTAGAGCTCAAACAATAATCTGCATTATCCTAATACGAAACTTGTGTTTTGTTTTTTATTTTAAAACATTGTTCAGACATTTGGCAAATCAAAAACGGTCACTTCGATGAAGTCATGCTTGCAATGAATAGTAGAATCGAAACAACAAAGTTCGTTCTCTTCTTCTTGATAATGTCAACTCGAAAATGGATTTCCCCTTCTTCGCATCCATTTTGATTCATAATAATTATGTCTCTCTACCTGATATACGATTGTGCTTAACAAACTACACAATAAGGTGACGGTGTCCGACACTGACAATAGTTATTTGGAAAAACTGAAAGATTATTTGCAGTAAGCTAAAGTACTTGAAACTATCATGTACATGAGCTCTTCATGGAAAACTAACAGTAAAATACACCAGGAGAACTATAGTTCAGTTTATAAAATTACAATGGTAGTTTTCTCTGATTCGCTCCTAGCTGCCCTAAACACAAAGTTCAACCGGGGTCTCAGAAGTCAAACATATTTATACAAAACATATTTTGCACACATCACAATATTGAGTTTTTTAATACACCTATTTCTCTTGTTTGCTGTCCATCATCTATCTCCGGATGACGAGACCTATATGATACTAATGTTTATATTTTTGTCATAACGATACGGTGACGGGGGCTCGTGGGGTGAATATTTAACAATCACGGTTGTTCAACGGAGCGCAAAATAGATGAAACTCGGATGACGCAAACCTCGAAACCCTATTTAATGAGTATCCATCACGCTTTGACGTCTACTGAGGTGAACAGCTGATCACCAAGTGATATTTTTGTGTTAGTCTGCAACGTTGGCAATAATGAATCTGGTATAAATCTAGTAAAATTAGTTTGTGGCGTTTTGTTTTTTGTAAGCAAATGAACTTTTCTAGATAAAAAAGCTGTTAGCAAGTAAAAAATGAATCTGTAGCATACAAAAAACCAAAACAAAATATGGCTCTGTCTTCAGACGTTGACGGATCCGTCAGAATTATGTGTCCTGTGATGGATACTCGTGAAATAAAGTATAGGTGGACTGCTACAATACTCGGTTAATAGCCCTAATTTTCTATTCATTAAGTGGCAATGACTTGGAAACAGCGAATAATATTAATCAAGATCTTGCCCAAATCGAAAAGATCAGAAGTAGTCATAATATCTGTTTGAGTCCTTTAAACATAAATAAAATAGTTCCTGTGAATCATTCTAAGGAGCTAGGTATGTAATGTATCATAATTTAAAATTTGTTGAACACGTAAACTATCTAATTTCCCAGTGGTACGATATTCTCAGAGTTTTAATTTTAAAAAATATCATATTGCTTGGTGGTTACTATCCCTATTTAGATATTATAACAAAAAATCGTATTCGGATTATTATAAATACATCTTGCAGGCTCGTAAAAGATAGAACATATGATCATATGCCGAAGGCCATTAATGACGTTAAGATGAAAATTGATAAAATGTATAAATACCAAATCGTAAGTCTGACTTATAGGGTTATTTATTCAAAAACACCATCGTATTTAGAAAGCAAATGGGAAATATGCATGACATTAATATTAGATATAGAGAGACTTTTTCAATCCCACGCCACAGCGCATCTCTATTTCTGAACATATATTTACAATGGAATCAAATTATATAATTCCTTAGACCGTTGTTAAAAAAAAACTTCAAGATATTCTACTTGATTAAAAGCGAAATATTTTGTAATCGATAGGTGTTAACTGACATTATATTAATTACGCTTTATTACTCGAATTGTCGTTATTGTAAACAGGTATTCATTTTCAACAAATTTTTAGTTTTTACACATCTCGTGTTATTAAGAGGAATAGTTGGTAGAATATCTAATTATCTCGCCTCCTGTAATGTTATTACAAATAAAAAAGACGTTAATTATTATTAATTTCTTATTTTATTTTTAATTTACCTTTTTTTTATACTCGAACCACCACGAAGGCCTAAGGCCTAAACACCCATGGGGTACCGTGGGGTTATAAGGGGATACAGGGGAAAGGGGGGACGCCACACGGACTCTGGCGAGGGAACACGTGTGCATGCAACATTCTGGCCCCGCCTACGAGATCCGCCGGGTGGTACCTCCGCGTTCGACAGTCAGAGACCGTCTACCACCTACGGACAATCACAACATCCATAGCCAAGAGAAAAATTTCTCTTGGGACGGGATTCGAACCCGCACAGCGCACGGCGACTGATCCGGAGACCGAAGAGTCTACTACTGCGGCCACCGCTGCTGACTAGACGAACTCTGACGAACTGGTTAGTTTGGCCAATGGTGGCTAAATATTTGAATGAATTTGATAACCAATTCCCTTCCTATCATATATTTGTTTTCAAAAATAGTACCCATGGAAAAAGTGTTTGTGCTTGGCTTTGTACTTTGAATGAAAAAGTTCATAGAGAGACAAACCTTCGTCAATATCATTTCTAGCAGCAGCTTCAAGCAGCACTACACTATCGTTGAAAAATATTCCCGGTTTGTTCGATTTCTGTTGTCTGGTAATCTTGCCCCTGCTAAACTCCTTCTCTTTTTGCAGCCACACCTTGAGTTGTTGGTTTCGCCTCTTTCGAGCCAGGATCAGTCGCTCTTGGGTGGCCATGCGCTCTATCTGAGGCATCTCCTCTATCAGTTGCTGGTGCTCCATCTTGCGTGATCAGTCTTATCTGAAAAAAAATAATAAATTCGAAATTATGGTTACAAAATAGTTGACCATATTTATAGATCTGTGTTGGCTGCTATTTTTTCACGATATTTGCTTCGTAGCTAGCAGTTGGTTAAAAAATGGCGTCAAGTAGGCTGACTCTACACTTCTCTCGCTAAGCCCTTAGCAGTACATGAAGGAATATGTTCAGCACAAACTAGACCCTCCGAGAAAAAAGTCAGTCGAACAGGTCCACACGATTAGTCCATAGACGTTATTTCCCTTTGCTACCGGAGGTGCATCTGGAAACGTCGCCTCTTCCCGATACCTAACTCGCCAGGTCTAGTGAAATTTTCTAGATCTAGTGATTTTTGAACAAGTTTAGTGATTTAGTGAAAACTTTTGTTAAACGTCATATCTCTAGTGATTTTTTTGAAAGGTTTGTAGCAAACAAAAAAATTTGAAAAATACAATGAAAAAATATAGAAATGCATCCAAAAGTTGGTTTTAAAAGATTTTCGGAATTTTAAGAATTTCAAACATTTTTTAACATCAAACCCCACAAATTATTGCATTCATCACAGACCAGGTGGCTGTCACTGATTTCCGCTGTAAGTAGAATTATTGAGCAATATGATGCTATAGAGAATTATTTTAGAATTGAAGCATTCGATGAAGCTTAACTAGCAGCTGAAATCCATGACATGCTTAATAATAAATTAAATAAACTATATCTTCTTTTTTTTATTACCGAAATTTACGGATATGAATTTGGATTTTCAGTCTGAAACCCCCAAGGTACATAACCTTTACCCCCGGATTAATGACGCGTGTAAATTTTCATTAGGCTGATTCATAAAATCAGAATATTTTAAAAGTACAGATATAGTTAATGTTCAATATCGAAATCCAGTGGAAAAAATTTACTTGGGTCCAAAAGTATTGGAAAAATGAATAATCCTTTTTTTACCGAAAATATCAAACATAATTTCAGATTGAAATGTTTGGATTTTTAGATTGAAGCGGTAAGCCAAATATGGAAGCGATTCCCCTTTAATTCCCGAGAAGTACAGATTCCCAAACTAATAACTTTTCTGCACCCATCAAATATATCATCAACTGAAAGCATAGGTCCTCTGGCTAGTAGGTTTGAAAATATAGTTAAAGACATTAACAATTTAGATAAAGAATTTAGGCAGTTGAAGTTTTCTGGATGTGATTTATCGCTTGGTGAAATTCAATTCTGGAAAAACATAAGCAATATCAAAAAAGAGGATGATAATCTCGCATACCCATAGCTTGCCAATTCTGTTCAAATTTTATTTACACTGTCACACAGTATTATTTATTTACATTAATTTAAACAAAACTAAATTGCGTAATCGACTGGGTGCTACGACAGTAAGTGGAATTTTGCACAGCAAAAGACTGAATTAACGCCGAAGATAAAAGCTGCTTTAATTTTCCAATTTCAATGGACATTATAAAAAAACAGAATAATAATATGTACTCGTAAGAATGTCATTCTTTTTAAATTTATCTATTTTAATGTAGTTTTAAATCAGTTATATTTAATTTCGTTTTTATTGATACGTTTTTAAGCTTTGAAATATATTTAGTGTTTTGTTACTTTTGTCTAATGGTTTTGTATTTGTGGCTTCTGGTAAGAGTCTGTTCAAATTTACGTTTTTGTTGTTTGTTTTAAGAGTTTTTTAAGAATCTTTTTACATAATAATATGTACTCGAAAGAAAGTCATTCTTTTTAAATTCGTTTAGGTTAATTTTTTTTATGTAAGTTATATTTAATTTCATGTTTGTTGTTACGTTTTTAAGCTTTCAAATATATTTGGTGTTTTATTACTTTTGTCTGTTTATATTTATGGTTTCTTTCAAGTGTCTGTTCCAATGTACCTTTTTGTTGTTTGTTTTTAAAAGTAAAGCCTTAAGAATAAAAAAAACATTTTATTGTATTATTTATCTCTTTATATAGATATAAAAAATATATAAATAAAAAATCTAGTGATTTTTTAGCAAAATTTCTAGTGATTTTTATTTTTGGCAACATTGCTCGGGCAGACGTGGCACGGGGTAGCGCAGCCAGAGCATAGAAAACACTATGCTGTTACATACTCATCACGCACGACGCCAGCAGCATCATCCGCGGCCGATAGGTACGCGATCTGTCTCGAGAATATTCTGTGAACAAAGGAAAGAGCATTCCTTTGAATACATATGCGTAATGTTGGTAGTTCCATAATTAATTTAGACACAGATGCACAAAAACTGATATTCTGTCACAATAGTAATATAGCTTTCGTCCGTCCGACTACAGACGGCCAACCAAGGACAGATGTTTCGTGCTTTTTGGCAACGCATCAGCATGGCAACATGGCTTGGTCCCAGGTTGGGCAATGAACAAAAGCTAAGCAATTATCCTCCATCCACGATATAAGGTCTATTTAAATAAGTCAACCCTATTGGTTCAATCTCGCAGCGGTTGATCCTGGAAATAGATCGCACTTTGTTCTGTCTTATTTTATATGGTCAAGTGGACCAGTTTGGGTATGGCAGTGGTGAGTATCTATATGCTACAATGTTAAACATGTTATCAGTTTCGTTTCCAGAAGTCTTTAACATATATTCTAATTTTTATTTTTAACATGAAATATTCAATATGTCCAATAACGAGTAATATCCTGAAAGCTTCATATGCCATAAAGCTGTGTCGTGAATATTTATAGTTATTATTGACTATGATTATAGCTTAACCGCACTATTCAAATTTCTACGATATTGCGGATGACAACAGTAACATGCACGCAAGCATTTAGATCAATATTTGCAGACGAATTGGAAAACAACAGGTTTAACAGACTAATTTTTTTTTTTTGAAAAATGAATCAAAATGGATCGATTCAGTGCTTTCTACACGATACAGGAATTGCTCCATTTCTGAAACACAGGGCATTGAAGCTAACAAATCAATTGCAGTCGTGTACTCGTATTTGACCATAAGGTGGAATTTTGCTCATTTAGCCTAAGGTTAAAATTCTTTATTTTTGATTTTTAGTTTTTATTTTATGTTGTCCATGCTTAGTTTTTAGAATGAATTAAAGTGTATTTTCTCGGAAACGAAGCAAAACATATGATATCAAGAAGTTGTGTTTTTAGTTGCTTAATCTGAAAAAACAAATACAAAAATCACCTTCTGAATTTCCCTATCGTAGTTAGAAAACACCGATCACATCTACAACTTGAAAAATGAGACTTGATTCATCTCAAAGTGTTTCAACATTCTAAGCATTTTCCCCAAACTTGATAAACATTGAAATACTCGAATTTTCCTCAAAATTACGTGTGAAATATTTAAACTACGCTCAAAAATTACTATTACGAAAAAAATAAAAAGAGCTCAGTTTGTGAAGGTTCAGAAAACTGTTGTTTTTGATTATACTCGTAACTGTGATGCCACTGGTATGATTTTAAAACTCCAAAGTATCTTAGTTATTGACACAGTAGTATTGCTGTGTGAAAAATGCATTGCTTTGTCTAGTGCCCACTGATACGAGAAGTAAAGCACTGTAGACATGAGAGCGTTCACGTATATTCGACAATGTGCTTTGTCAAATAAAAACCATCCAAGGCTGCAGTACTTTTCCGGAAATAGAGAAAATGTCCGAATTCTACCAAAGAGCCGTTCATTTTGGCTGGTCGGAGTCCAAATCACCGAAATCTTGATCTGGCACGAATACATCTCGTCAATAGTGGCAGCTGCTGGGAAAAGGGGGTAAGAAGTACTTTTCTCCGCATGGGCTTCTCACTCTTTACAAGGCCCAAATAAGGCCTAGCCTGGAGTACTGCTCACGCGTTTGGGATACTGCCGCCCCGGATATATTATTTAAGCTCGATGCTGTCCAGAGGAGGACCGATTACTCTTCTCTAACAGACAGTCTCGGGATCCTTTCTCACTGGTGGGCCGTCAGCGATCTAGTTGTCGTCTACCGCTACACCAACAGGCTTTGCTCCTCAGAGCTCTCTTCCAGGATGCCGCCGCGTTCCTTGGTCCCGAGGGTGTCGAGATTGGGGAACAATCTACCTCAGGAGACTTCTCTCAGTTCAACTAATCTTAGACAGTTCAAAAATCGGATTAACAAAGTTTCTTTAAGATCTACACGGTTGCTTCGGTATAAAAAGATTGCTGGCCTCAAAAGTTTACTTATGTCTCCTTATAATGTTGAAAAGCTTTTGAAACAAACATAAAGCTTTGCCTTGGGGCATTTAATTTAACGAAAGCCTCATTTTTTCAAATACATGGTCCGGCAGTGAAACGGGAAGATTTAAAAAATTATAAACTAAGGTATACCAATTTATTAATTAATTTAACAAAAATGCAAAGTACATTAGTGGAATTTAGTGTTGTAGCTTAAATGTTTGTTTTTTCTTGAAAATTGTATCAGCTAGATGTCGTCCTGGGTTTCTTACACATTCTCAGAGTCTATTGCAGAACGAATCCAGAACTCTACGTAGCACATCCAATAGAATATTGTCGATCTCTTGACGAATTCGGGCCTCCAAATCTTCCTTATTTCTTGGTGGCTCTATCTGGAAAACCTTTGATTTTAAATACCCCCAGAGGAAATAGTCAAGAGCGGTCAAGTCCGGAGAACGCTCCTGCCTATTTCCTCTGGGGGTATTTAAAATCAAAGGTTTTTCAGATAAAGCCACTAAGAAATAAGGAAGATTTTCAGTCCCGAATTCGTCAAGAGATCGACAATATTCCATTGGATATGCTACGTAGAGTTATGGGTTCGTTCTGCAACTGATTCCGAGAATGTGTAAGAAACCAAGGGCGACATCTATGTAGCTGATACAATTTTTAAGAATAAATAAACATTTAAGCTACAACACTAAATTAAACTAATGTACTTTGCATTTTTGTTAAATTAATTAATAAATTGTTATACCTTAGTTGGTGAGTTTTTCAAATCTTCCAGTTTCACTGCCGGACCCTGTATTTTAAAA